GTGATATCACACGATGCTTGTCATCTGTCTTTCACATAGATTAAAAAACAAAAAAAGTCAAGGCAATTAAGTAATCAAAACTATATAAAAATCACACTTGTGGTTTTGCTGACCTCATGTCCTTCATTCCTAGCATTTCTAACAACGTAGATTTATCTCAGTTACCCTGTGAGCTTTGGTACAAATCCAGCCTTGCACCACCACAGCTCCTTTGGTGAGGATTGCCCCCATCTCGTTCCTCAGGTGAGGTACAGCTGCTCAGCTCCACAGAGCTTAAAGATCACTGGACTGTGACATAACCATGGCACAGGACAGACACTACATAGGAATTATAATCTAATATTCACCATTCATTTAAAGTGAAATCTGAATGTGTAAAATTCCAAAGACAAAAAGTCAGAAGTATGAAACGTTGTCCTTTCACACCATGGAATACACAACAGTGATCGAGTGCAACACAAAGTTTTCCTTTCCACCATGTTTCCAAGAAGCTGCCATTTCAATTTGTCCTAAAATTAATTGTAGCTATGTGTTTTGATTTATCTTGATATTTTCCTTTGAGTTAAAAGCTGATTAATGAAAATTAGTTAAAAAAAAAAATAAGTGGAAAAGCAGAACTAAGACCTACAAAAGCTGAAGTTTTCAGAGATTTCAGAGTCAAGTAAGATATGTTTGCCTCCTTTTACTTAAAGATCCATCAGTAAAATACTACATGTCTCAAAATCATCATTCTATGAATGACACTGGTGCTGAAGACAAGCACGTGTGGTGCATTATTACCAAAGGAAAGAAAGTTTCAGCATTGTGTCTGGGGGAGACTTGGGAAATTTCTCTATTACAGATTTGCTCTTTTCTGCAAAATCATTTTTATGAAATATTGGGAGAGCAGCATTTCAGCCAGACTAGCAAGACGCTATTCTATGCTGATGACATAATCATTTATCTATGCCAAGCACCACAATATGACAATGGTTTGTGATAAGGACTTAAACTAATATGCAGAATCATCTTCTCAAGTGCCAAGGAATATTAAAGATGCTATCTTACTGGCAGCTTCTCATCAAGGGACTGACATAGTTGAGGAACCAGAGGCTAATCCCCATTGTGTGCCATAGGATATCGCCACTTTCGCACTTTGTGTCTGCCTTGCGGAACTGATTCACAGAGTAATTACCGCAAAGATAAGCTTTTTCTGGAACATACACAATTAATTCTCCTGTAAAAAGTAGGAAAGAAATCTGACATTTAATAACGTTTAAGTACACCTAATCTTTTCCTTTTCTGCTCCTAATATTTCCTAAATATGTCGAAGAAAAAAGATTCAAAAGTACTTACAACTGTCTGCTCTTATGTAAATTATCCATGAGTATGTAATAGCCCATCATAAAATAGCCAACTAGAAATAATACTATAAACCCTCAGAACATAGAGCAAGTGGATAATCAGTGTAAAGATCAATCTAGAATGTTATTCTCTTTTTCATAAGCATTAAGGCAATTCTTTCCAAATAAGAAGTACCTTATTCCTTTAAAATTTGAAAAATATTTTTTAAAGTTTTGAAAATAGATAGGCCTAAAAATTTATTTTTGCTAACAATTCCAAAAACTGTATTCATCATGAATTCATCAATTCATTTTTCCAAATCTCACTCGGCCTGTCAAAACAACTTGTGACTGCAGGACTGTATCTACCAATCCATTTACATTTCACAGGCATATTTTGAGGTGATTTTTGCACTTCAGTGTAGTGCCTTTCGTAAACTGCTTGTAAACAGGATTCAAGTGCATCTTACGCTTTCTGTTACACTTCAAATATTGATAATTCAAAATAACACTCCTTCATGACTACAGACAACTGGCTAATTGCCCATTGACAACTGGCTAATTGTCCGATTGAAATCGGACCAAAGAAAAGAACCAAGGTTGCCATCAATCTGCACTCCAGAAATAGATTACGCATATTTAGAAGAAAAACAAATCAAACAACCACACACAGAAACAAACAAACAAAAAAAACCCACACCAATTATTTAACATAAGTTTTGAAGATAGAATAATTTGCAAAATTAAAAGAAAAAAATGCTGTTTATTTTTTGTTTAGCTGATTCTGATTATCTAGAATTAAAGCATTAACTTCTACAGCTTAGGATAAAGCTCAGTTAGATAGCACTAGCTAGTCTAGGCAGCTCATAAAAAGGGAAGAGTTTGGGTTTTGGTTTTTCACATTTGATAAAGAAGCAACAACAACAACAACAAAATTGATACAGGCAACTCCACAGCAGAAAAATACCCTCCAAGAGCTGAGCTATCAGGGACATTCATCATCTTACTTAACTTTGCCTGCAGATCTAGTCAAGAATTCAGCCAAGCTGCCTCACTACATTTTTTATTTCAATGGGACAACATGTATGACTCAAGTTATACAAGGACATCAAAGTTGAAAGGATAATGATGTTAACACTCATTTTTCAGTGTTAATGCTTCCATATCAATGACAGCAGTAAAATAGATGTTACCATAGGCAGCACTCAGTTATTTTTGCCACAATACCATGAAAATATTTTCTACTCAGAGTAGTTCTAAGTGCTCAAATCACAATGGAAAAAAAGATTGATTTTTAAAAGTATATATAAAAAGTATATATATAAAAATGAGTAGAGCTGAGTATCAGACACTTGATCACTTGCTATTTCATGTATCTTTCTGTGTCCAATGACAAACAGACTTGGATTTATTTTAGTGAATCATCATGCTTTATTTAGTTCAATAATAGTAAATGAGATACGCAGATTCCTTTCCAAATTCAATTTTAAATGACTAAATGTGGTCTCAGAACTCCCATCTCTATTTTCTCTCTCTCTTTCTGTTTTGTTTCATATACAATTCTAAAATATAAAAACTGAAGTCAGTTAATCATGAATTAAACACAAGATATTCACTTTTAATCATGGAAATTCTTATTTCATGACTATAGAAAGATGTACTTTTCTGCCTGTTATGTGATAGAAGAACTGAAGTCCCTATGGGTCTTTTTCCTGCAACTGACTTGTACACAAATGAACTTTGACAACAACTAACAGCAAATGAGCTACAGCTCACTGTATCAATACAGGATAATTTTACACTGACAAAGTTGTCAGCCAGTTAATAACATATGTTTCGAGAAAGGCTGATATAAAATTAATGCTCTGAGACTGTGCTGAAGTTTGATGTTCCCAGTGTCCCATTTTGTCATTTAATTTTAGATAATAATTACATAATACATCATTTTTTAATGTAGCCAATGCGAAACAAAGAATATTGATGACCTGCATTTATTTTGCAGATGTTAATATAACAAAGGAATCTTTCATCTCTGTGTGGCATTACATTTTTCCATGCAACTTCAGACCTAGTTGTTTCCACAGATAGAAAAACACCATTATTTTTTCTTAATATTTATGAAAGATGTAGTGTAACTTTGCCATAGTCACAGGGCTAGTGCTTCTAATTACTTGTCTAAGCCTGACATTGTCCATTCAGTTTCACAGACTGTCCTGGTTACAGATGGACCTGAATTCATTCTGCTCAAGTTTTGTGGGTAGCCACCAGGTGTGAGACAGAAAGGCACAAAAGCCTTAGTGCTGTCAGAAAATTTAGATTTAATTATGGAAACAACATCACCTCCTGTAGGGTGCTTATACAAAATCCTTGGTCCACATTTGCAAGTTCCTTGGTGGTAACATACATATTGAACACCTTCTTGAATATGTTGAACATATATGCTTTTTCTGTGGAGTAAGTTCCCTAGATCTGAAAGATGATGATGAAAATTCCCCCATCCTTTAATTAAGAATAATGAAGACGTATTTTTTAATCATATTCTGTCAAAACCAGATTTTTAAAATTAATTTAGCTCAGTCTTAAAAGCAGAAGAAAATACATTTCTATATGTTTAGTATTTTTAATTGCTGTTTCACTTATTTTACCTCACTCAGCTGCTTAACAGTATTTTATCTTTCATTAAAGTAGTAGTACTCAACCTTACTAGCTCATGCAAGGAAAAAAAATCAGTAAGCATGGGAACACTTACTATTTCATTTAAATTAAAATCCACATCTATTTAAGAGTGAAAAAAATATTTCATTTTTTATTGGACAGTATTTGTCATGGTTTTATGTTTTTGTTTGTTTGTTTTTGAATTTTAGTATTCCACATCAAAACATCATGTAGTGTACGGGGCATTAAAGTGTCACTGCCCCAGTTCCAAGTACCTATCCCTGTACATTACAGCAGTTACGGGATCTGGCCCTTCCGGGTGGGGGGGCGCTCTCTTGCTGCCTTGCAGTGGGTGCTGGAGGGTGCTTTCCTAGCCGTTCCAAGCTTTTCAGGTTTGAATCGGTCCCGGGAACTCTCTCTCTCTCTCTTATCTTGTCTGATTTATTAATCTCAATTTCAACTAAATTGTATATATTGGTTATTTTGTATTCCGATATTATAGTAAAATAAGTTTTCCTCCATAGATTGTTGCCGCTGTTTTTTTCCTCCCTTCCTTCCTTCCCATTTTTGTGGGACTGGGGTGGGGGGGAGGGCAGAGGCCTGTCGCCCCCTGTCGCGGACATAGATTGATCTGGTCAACTCCGTGACAGTATTGTAGACACAAAAAACAATTCATGGACAAATATTTCCAATTTACCAGGAAATATACATGGCCTCAAGATTTCTACCATATGTATACGCTGATGTGCTACTTCTTTGCCACTGATTAATGCCTCTTTGATACCGCAAGACAACTGTCAAAACAATCTTTTGAAGGAAATTTCTACTAGCAGTGTCTCTAAATAGTAGCCAGTTCAGAGGCTGACAAGTCTCTAGAAGTGCACAGCCAGTGTTATCTGGTTAATGTAGCCTCAGGCTAGTTATTCTGCAGTGGGTGTGAAAATATATTTCTTGAGTTTTGGTATTAGTGAATGACATTATCAGGCAAACAAACTTTTTTTTGAAGTAGTTTCTCTTGCTTACCAGTTCCTCACGAAGTTGGGCTATGAGTTCATCTCTCTCCTTCAGCTGCAGCTTCAGCACTGAGCATTCATCTTTTATTCCATCCTACAAAAATATCAAAATAGATGTTAAAACAGGTTTCATGCTTTTACTTCAGTCTTAACTGGAAAAGGCTGTTTTGCATAGCGTCAGATTATTATTTTTAAATAATGAACTCAAATCTCCTTTGTCATATGTTGCAGTTTCAATAACACATTCTAAAGTTGCAGCATTAATAAATTAATGCATCCAAAGATGACACAGAAATGTCAGAAGCTCCCCACAAAGAAGTCCATTTCATTATTTTCTGATTTTTCTAAGCTTTTTTTTTTTTTTTTTTTTTTTTTAACCCCTGCATCCATCACAACAGCAGCAATTCGGATATTAACTGAGTAAACAAAATAGGTACTGGTCATCACTTAGTGATATAAGCATTGATTATAACTCAGTTTACTGTGCGTAAAAATGAACCTAGTGGCCAAGCTGTCACCAAACACAGATCCACATAAATGCAGATACAGACAATCCTGTGAATTCAAGCAAGTCTAAACACCTTTGGAGAAAAAATGCCAACCAAGTTTTTGTGTGTTGTGCTGGTAAACAGCCAAGAGGATAAATTCAAATTAAATTACTGAGTAACTGAAGACTAAAACCACAACAAACTAACAAGCCAATAAAGAACAAATTCGTCTTACAACTATAAATGAAGAAAAGAATCTCAACATTCTTCTACTACTGAGATATACTTACAAAGTTCAGGACATGCAATACTTTGGAGCATTACTACCTTCAAAACCAAAACAACAAAAACATAAAGAATATTACTGGGAATATAGTTATTCATATGCACCATAGTTTTTCCCTTAGTTTAAAAAAGAGAACAGTGTATCACTAGCTAATGGATGATTACAAATATAAAAAGGATGAGATTTGCTTACACCATTAACTTCTCAGGGGTTCAAAAGCATAACCTATGTGATATGCTTGAACTCTGGCAGTACTTATGTGCTTGCAAAACTAAATAGAAAAACAAGACAAATGTAGAGACTGAAGTCCATTTTCCTCGGTAAAATGTTGTTATAATAATGACCTTTCAAAGTAATTACTTTATTCTGTGACGGACTAATTGGAAAAAGAAACAAAATACACATAAAACTCAAGACATTTACAACTACATTGGCCCTTTATAACACCCTATTTTTAGCTGAAGATAATGATTGTACTTAAATATTATTTCAGCATTACGTACAAATCTCCTGAAAGATTAAAATTTTGAAAAAGAAGTCAGGATTTGCACTATTTTCCTTTGGGAAAAAAAAAAAACATGGGTAATTTTCTTAGTGATATGGCTACAGCAGCATTTTGCTCTGTCTGCTGATGCAATGTCTAAGAATGCTAGCTGAAAATAAACTACTAATAAATCCCAGAACTTTGTACCCTCAGCTCCGATAGGTTATCAGTGTGTATTTAGTTATCAAAAATATTTGCTTATCAAAAATAACGCATTGAGAACTGAACTACAAATTTATCAATATTTATGATATCAGTATTTATGGAAAATAAATGCTTTAAAAATGATGCCACATTAGCTATAGCACCTCCATGTCTAGTTGCACTACTCTGAATTCTTTTTCCAGCAGCTTATCACATTACCTTCTGTTATCTCCTGATTTTCCCCTTTTTAACTGAAAAAACAGGTTGACAGATTATATACTAGAAGAAGAAAAACAAGGTCACATGACCGAGCAAGAAAAGACTATTACAAAAACAAGCTTATATAAAGCAAGCACAAGGAAATGCAGTGATAAATCATGTAAGTAAGAAAGATTTTTGAGATTATTCTAGCACTAAAAGTGGTATTGAAGGTAATTCGGGCCCCTGTAGGACCAGTGAAAACTTGAATAATCTTTCGGCTCCCAGAGCTTCCAAGGACTTTAAATCCTAGTGCATCTCTCCTGGCAAAATGCAAACACCCAGTTGGATCTTTCTCATCCACACAAGGGAGCAACCTTCCATGAGCATTACTGTGTGATGGAGACACAGTAAGTTCCATACAAACATAAGAAAGAGCTTATTTATGGTAATGGTGACTGGAACAGATTGACCAGAGGGGTTATGGGGTCTCCTTCTGTGGAGATATTGAAGACCAATGTAGATGCCTTCCTGTATCACCTATTCTAGGGAATGTGGTTTAGCAGGGCATCAGGACTCGACGATCTCTGGAGGTCACTACCAATCCCTGTAATTATGTGTTTGAAAACTACTGCAGACTTAAATCTTGTTTCTAGGTACTTTTCAGTTGACAGACTGCAGTGTGAAAAACAGTGTCAGGAAGCTTTTTATTCAATTCCCTCAGACCTATGACAGATCCTAATTTTCTCTCCCAGAAATGATTATCAACTAGAAGTGAAGATTCTAAAAATAAAAAATAAAATTAAATATTCACTGTTTTTTGTTTAATTATGAATTCATTCACAGGTTCTTTTCCAAACCATTGACCCCAGAATGACTATATGGCTATAGTGTATGTTTCAACACCTTCAGCCCCTACTGCTGCTTCACTGTCCAATACAAATTCTACCTCTTGTGGATATTAAAGCACTTCACATGGTTGTGTGGATATTATTAGTCCTAACATCATGTGGATTATAAAGAACAGCTGTTGGCAGTATGGCAGTATGAAAATAAACTATTGCTGAGAAACTGTGCTCAGTCATATCCCTTCTAAATATACCTGAGTTTAAGTGTATTAGATTGTCAAGAACATACAACAAATGCAGAAATGATAACAGGAGTTGTCTCAATATTATCTATCAATATGGAACACGCTTAATGGTAAGAAATTCTATGGCATGACATGTCTGGCTAGTGATCCCTATATAAAGTGCAGTTAGGGAAACTAATATTCATGGCTTCTCGAAAACTGAAAGGAAAACACCACTTAACCCTGCTATCTGCTCAGTTTCCCAATCACAAATATCTTGACTGTAGAATCATTGCAGAATAAAGACCTCATCTGCGACTCCTGCATCTCATGAAGGACAGTCTACGCATAGGCTCTTCCCTGCAATCTGGTATACAGGCACATCACTGTGTTCACAGATGTTATCCAAAAGCAGATAGTAAAAGAGAAGCACTAGCAGTTCCCAGATTTTTATGTCATTGCTTAGTAAAAGAAGTACTAACAAACACTCTCCACCACACGGGATTTGCAAGTAGCTAAGCAGTTGAGCACAGTCTAGAATTAAGATTTGGTAATACTAATTTGCTGCATGGTATTTCTGTAGGCTTCATTTGTTCTAGAAATGTAAGAGAAAAATGAAAAAAATGGTGCTTGGTGTTTCTATATCTCTCATGTTTTGAGGATATTTCTGCTATAATACAAATTGAAAATGGGAATAAGACAGAAAATATCATCCAAAAATAAAAAAGAAAAATGTAGAGCAGACTGTAGAAAGACTTATGTACTTCCCATAACTCATATACTTGCCTGAATGTATTAATAATAGAAGTAAAATGCAATGAAATCAACAGTCTGTTATCAAAATAATGAATACAGTTCCTCCAGAAATTGATATCTAGGAAAGGAGAGCACTCCAAAAATCACATCCTGTATACAGGTCAGCATTGTTTCATTAAGGATAGCATGGGGGGTACCAAAGAAAAAAATATGTAGCTATATGTTTTGGTGACTGCAGAAAGTAGTAGGATGCTGCATTATTTATTAGTCTAGAAGGCAAACAACAATGCTATGAGTGAGAGTGAAAAAGAGTGTATTTTCTAAATACAATTTGAATATTCTGGAGCTATACTATTTGCGCTTTTTATGTAAAAAGTGGATCATGTACTCTTAATGATTAGAAAAATAAGGCTGCTTATAATACTGGTGTCATGGTATTATGATTTTTTGTTATTAGTATTCCACACTGTAACATCATGTAGTGCACTGGGAGTTAAAGAGTTACTGCTCCAATAACACGGATTGTTGATATTTTTGGAGTAAGGGGTATCCAAACAACTCCCTTACGAGTAAAGGCTGAGTAACACGGGTCTCTTCAGCCGAAGGAAAAGAAGACTGAGGGGGTGTCTGATTAATATATATAAAAATCTAAAGGGAAGTGGGAGGCAAATGGATGAGGCTGTGCTCTTCTTGGTAGTGTGCAGTGGCAAGCAGTTTCACAGAGAAGTTGTGCAGTTTCCTTCTTTGGAGATATTCAAGACCCACCTGGATGCCTACCTGTGCAACCTACTGTAGAGTACCTGCTTTAGCAGGGAGGTTGGAACCTTTCAATCCCTGCGATTCTGCGATTACTTTTGGGGTGGCCTAGATATAAACAAAGAGCCAAAGAGAATAAGAGATCTGCATATAAGTATAGCCGAGTTCAAGTGCTAACCAGAATCAATCAAGTGATTACAGATTTAAAATTCAGCTAGGTAACTTTTAGCATTTCTATTTATTGTATTAGCATCCTTGGACACTCTGGTTCCTTACCTTCCCATGAAGATTTTATACCTGGACATGCTATCAAGAATTGTAGTCCAATAAGAACATGGACACTGTGAAAACATTAGTTAACATTCCAAATAATTAAATCCCATATTGCATGCATGTGCTCATAAGTTGGATGCACTACTGTTTCGAAGATATTTTATTCAGCTTAGTAAATTTTGTACTACACATGAAGTATCTTCCAGCAACATCTCATTTAAAAAAAAAAAGAAAACACTTTTGAAAAGTGTCAGTTGTATTTTCTTCCCTTACATTCACTGATATTGCTTAAAAAAATAAATAAATAAATAAATAAATAAAATAAAAAAAATCCAGGATTTAGCTCATATTCACATGGATTTACCATTGTTATTGTACTTGATTATGGTCAGAATGCTCTTCAAATGATCTTATTTTTGTCTCTTCAAAGTAACATTATTTTCAATCATAGTTTATGACAGCAATTGGTGTATCTCATTGCTAGTATTTTCCTATTTAGTTTAATTCTGTCCATCTGGGAAAGTGCTAAACATAATAGCAAAATTGTTTCTCATCAGATCAGGTCACAGGATGACAA